TTGTGGCCGCGAGGCATGCGACGCGGACATGGGCGTGCGCCGCCTGAGCAGCACGCAGAGGGATGTGTACGTGCGGCTGACGGAGTTTCTCCTTGCGGAGGAGTATTGTTGATGCGCTGCGGTCTGGGTTGGGGCGTGGCCGCCTTGTGCATGCCTGAGTGGCGACGCTCGGCGCCCCCGCATCGCACCTCTTGACTGCCTGCTCCTTTTTCCTCCATTTGTTTGTTGTTTTTGTCTTTGCGCCTCTTTGTCCTCCGCCCAAGACACACCAGAGCGAAGCCATACAAAAGCACACATAAGGCCGACGAATGCCCTCTGGCAAAGCAACTGCGCTTGCAGCGGCGACACTGCTGGCGCTTCTCGTGGTCGCGCCCGCCGTTGCATCTGCCCAGCGCTCACTCGACTGCCAAAAGGTGTGGGATGGCCCCAGCATCGACAACGACGTCTTAAAATGCCTGTCCAACACCGACCGCATAAAGGGGCAGTGGCGCTACCTTGTTTATCCGGGGTTTTGTGCGCTGCTGTTCGTTGTGACTTTGCTGAGCTTCCCGCTTGTTTTTCTCAGCGTTGTCTGCTGTCGCTCCTGCGGTCAGCCGAAACCAGGGCGGAGCAGTGACGCGTCCCGCTGCTTTCTCTGGATGTGGGTCATTTACGTCGTGCTGTGGAGCGCTGCCATGGCTGTTCTCGTGATATTGGGCGCCAAGCTGCTGGCGACGTCCGCCCACAGTATCATTGACAACACGCTGGATGGTCCGCTGCAGTACTTCAATAACACGGCTGAGAGGATCATTGATTTCGCGTCCAACTGGTCCTCGGGTAAGCGTGAGCCCATACATTCCATCGACCTGGACATCACTGCCTTCACCAACATCAGCACCAATGTGACCGATTTACTCATGGATGCCAAGCAGAAAATTTCGAAGTACATTGGATGGGTACCGATTGTGTCGTACTGTGTCGGTGGCGTGGGTGTTGTGCTAATTCTTCTTGTGGTTTTTTTGGCCTGTTGCCGCTGCGGCATCCCGTGCACAACATATTTATTCTCCTGCGTCTACTGGCTCTTCGGGGTTGTGTTCGCACTGCTCGCGGTTGTGGTGACGGTGCTGGCGTATCTCTCTTGGGCCGCCTGTGGCGAGGTGGAGCTGCAGCAACGACGGCAGCCGGGTGTGTTCCAGTGGTATCTTGTGCCGTACTGTGAGCAGACATTTGACTTTGCTGATATCAGCAGGAAGGCGGATGATGCGGAGCGGCGGTTCTCCAAAGAGGCGTGCAAAAATTTGCTCAAATATTGCGATAACAATACCATTTCATTTAAGCCCTTGCTGTGCGGCAACGACATCACATCGGAGGATCAGTGCCCCAACTTTGGCACCATGGCCAGCGTGCTGAGTGCTACCCGGATCAAAGCCTTCACAATGGCGTGTCCCGTGGCGGGCGAATCGTGCACGTTGTTTGAGTGCGTCGCCAACTGCACCAACACAGAAGTCAAAGAATTGGCGTCAGGGATTCTGCAGCTTGCGGCGCAGGCAAGCAATGCGAGCATTGCGCTGTCGTACGCCAGGCCGTTGCTCGACTGCAATTTTGTGGTGGACAAGCTTCTGGGAGCCATGAGTGACTGCAATGAACTGAAGGCGGGGACCCTGATGCTTGGCACTGGCTTCTTTGTTGGGGGACTGATGTTCGGTCTGGCCATCTACATCATGTTCCGCGGCTCCTGCATTTGGGACGCCCGGTCCATCAAACAGGGTACGAGCCCTTTTGGAGTTTAGGGAAGCAAACATTAACATGCCGTGCAGGCCTTCTTTTGTATTTATTTCTCCAGTGTGGGCTTGTTTTGCTACGTAGATATACGTATACTTGGGTGGATGCACGGTGTTCCTTCTCTGCCTCTCTTTTCCATCGGCAGCCGACGAGGGATCTGTTTCTTGTGCGATGGCGTTTTCACAAAGTGCCAGGGGACAAAATGTGGAGAGGGGCGGAGCTGCGTTGTATGAAGTGCGGCAAAGAAAGGAAGGCACTGAGAGGGGGAATTGCTCTGCTACCTCATCGTGGAGTCGTTATTGGAATAGGAGGAGAGGAGCGTGTTGATGAGGGGCTGTGCTCCACAGGTGTGAGCGACATGCAAGTGCAACATGTGGGGAGTTGGGGGAAGCTGCGCTCGTTTTCATGAAGCAAAGTCGACATAATTGAAAGCGGTGAACGTTAGACTTATTATACCACCAGGTGAAAATATGCCTGTGGTCAAAATAACAAGTCTTTAATTTGCGAGTGTTAATTGTTTTCATCTTTGGGGAAGTGTGTGTGAGGGTCAGGCCAAATAGTTTTTGATTAAACAACATGTGTGAAAACATTTTTTCCTATTTATTTTTTTGTTTTCCTCCCCGTCTGTTGGTAAGGATGAGGAGCGCCTCGGGAATATCCACACAAAACACTTTGTCCCACGCGGGGAGGGCGGGTGCTGGGCGTTTCCAGCACCTCTTTTTTTGTTAGTGTATGAGCCGAGTTGAGGCGCCTCTGGAGGGCGCCGTGTCGTGCGTTGTCTGCTGTTGTGTTTTTTTTTTTTTTTTTTTTTAGGACCTTGTGAAGAGAATGATCGCGGGAATGCTGGCTAAGTAAATTAATACATATATATCCTGGTAAACGAATACACTTTTTTATAATACTTTTCCTATCTTATGAATTTTGAGAAGCAAACGACTTCAGGGGGTCAGGTAACTGATAACGGCTAGACGAATTTTATTTTTATTTTTATTTTTTTCATCCACCCTTTTTGATTCGGACCTTGCGGTGGGGTCTTGTGGCTGGAGGAGCCCAAAGTCTTTCACTTCGTAAGTAATAATATTTTATGTCCTAACTGAGTTCAAAAGTTTACGTGAGCGGTCAATATATATATATATTTAATCAGAAGAAACCACTGGGACAAGTAGCTGCTTCTGCGTTACTCCTTTTATCTCTCGTTCGGTTTCTATAGATTATTTGATGTTCTGGCCAGCGGTAAAGAAGGTTATTCTTTTCGTAACGCACCGCACTGACGGCACGATTCTTCTCTCTTGTTTTTCTTATTTTTGTTACGGTGAGGGCAGGGTGTAGGATATTGCTTTGGATGCGCCGTCGGGAGGCACGCGCGAGGCGGTTTTTTGTTGACCGGCACTCCGTTTGGGGGTGCGGCGGTCTCTCATTCCACACTGGCGACCACGGCGTCGCAGAGGGGCGCGGGGCGGCGCCTCCCCACATCACCATGCTGTGCTGAAGCCCCAGCAGCGGGACGACTGGTCGCGACGGCATGTGTTTTGGCGGGCCCTCCACTGAGCCCCGCCACCAGCGCAAACGACACGTCGTTGGAGGGACCGGCCAACGGGCTGAGAGTGCCCGGCCACATGCGCTGAATTTACCCACACGGCGTTTTTGTTTGTGCGACCGAAATACGGCGCGGCGGGTGGGCTGGCACGTGGTCGGGGTCTTTTGGGACCGAAGGGGGGAGCCGTGGGGTCGGGTGGCCCAAGATACCCTCGAGGGGCTGCAGTCGCAAAAGTCTCCCCGTCCAATGAGTGAACGCAAGGTTGACAACCTCTTTTCTTGCGGATGCCGGCGAATCTCTTAGTGGAAGCATCTTTGTGGGTTAACGCCTCCATCCCGTTTGTTTCCGGGTCGTTGCGCGTGGACCGATAGGAACACGGCGTGGCAGAATGTTTTTCGCAAAATATTCACTGTGCCTGAGAGCCCGAT